CCCCAAACTAGTGGTGAGAGGTTACATTTGACACAAGATGCTGGTGTTTTATCCAGCAGTGGGTGGACCAGCATTTTAGCTAAGGTCCGCGTAGGTAATATTCCTACAAATCTTAAAAAAAAAAAAAAAAAAGTTCGTTCAGATTTTGTCCGAATTATCCGAAATCCGGATTAAAGGGGTCCAAATTAACGAGGGTCGACTGTATTTATATTCCTCATCCATGAATTCCAGGCTGCAAATTCTCAAAGCACGTAAAAACATTGATGAAAATACTGACTGTTTGACTCTATTATGGTGGGCAGAATAATAATGAATGTATGAACACACATTAGTAGGTTTCCTATAAATACTGAACTTAAAGGTGTTACCTATTCTGTGGATCAGACAGTCTAGGAATGGCAATTTACAGTCATGCTCTAATTCCACAGTGAATTTGATCAAGTTATTAAGTTGTGTCAGGAAAGCTTTTAGGTCCTCTTCATGGCCAGAGACATAATACATCATCTACATATCTAAACCAGACTGCTGAAGGTTTGTTCATTGCATTGACTGGGATAATGCCTCCTCAATATTACCTTGTAATTCAATTAACAGTAGGAACATTATAGAATCCAGTTTCATTAAACATACCGAATCCTCCAACATGAATTTGAGTAATGGTATGTACAAACTGGATAATTTCGTAATTCAGAAGATTTGTAACCAGGTGAGAAGGTTGGGTCATCTTACCCTCTGACCTGACTACCGACTGCTGCGGTGCTTTTTGAAGATTAGTAGGGTCACTACCTAATACCTGACCATTGTGGACTTGATCTCACCCTCCTCTGTATACATATACAGTGGGGTATGCTATAACGAACGGATCCTACTACGAATATTCCTATAACGAACGGTTTTACCTTATAAAACTGAGAATGCTATAACGAACTAAAACTCCTACAAATCTAACATTATTTAATTTTTTTTTTTTTTTTTTTTTTAATTTATTGTTTTTTATTACAAGTATTAATGATATTCTTTATTTCAGGAGTTTAGATGCATATTTATGCACTTTTAATTTTTACAATTTTATATTATATTTTTCAGTGTTAAGTGGTTGTATTTGGCCTGGAACGGATTAATCCTATACGAACTAAATGCTATAACCGAACAAGGTTCTAGAACCAATTAGATTCTAATAGCACCCCACTGTACCTTGTTATGTATTTCTCCTTAGTCTGTACTCACTCTGAAGATGTGAATTACCACAAAAGCACTTAAACTTCATGTTTCTTTTTTCCTTGTGGTTACAGAATATATATATATATATATATATATATATATATATATATATATATATATATATATATATATATATATATATATATATATATATATATATATATATATATATATATATATATATATATAATATATATATATATATATATATATATATATATATATATATATATATATATATATATATATATATATATATATATATATATATATAAAAGGTGATTTTAGGGGAATTTTAGGAGTGCTTCTGACTTTATGCGTTTTTTACTTTACAGTAAAACCTCGATTAACCGACCACATATGGGGGGAAGGGGCCGACGGATAATCCAAAAGGGCGGTTAATAGTAAATAAAGTCTACGGAAATAAAACATACATTTTCAAAGTACCTATCCCTAACCAACCTCATTTAAGTCCCTCTATTCATTTGCCATTCATATTTCAATAGAATTTGCTTTAAAACATTAACCACTTTAGTAAATAAATATGAACCAGCACAGAAACCGTGAATAAAAAATGGAAAAGTCAAAAAACATCTGTCATCACAAAAATTGTGACCTAGTCCCAGTTGCTGATCTGACTTTCTGCCTCATTTACACACAATTGCAGGGTCTCAATTGCTTCTCTTACTATTGACAACACAACATACATACAGGTACAGTGGAAAATGCTATAACGAACGTAATTGGTTCCAGAACCTCGTTCGTTATAGCATTCGTTCGTTATAGGATTAATCCGTTCCAGGCCCCCAAATACAACCGCTTAACACTGAAAAAATTCTGTGGAAAATGTAAAAAATACGGTACTTTATCTTACCTTAGTGTTATTCAGCATGCAGGTACCCCTAAACACTGGCACAGCACTATCACTTCCACTGGGAGTCTTGGCTTTAAGGTCCTCAAACAATTGTTTAGCCTTCTCACAAATTATAGCTTCACTAATGTTACCACCTGCCATTTCTTTCTCCTTTATCCACACTAAGAGTAAATTTTCCATCTCTTCAATCACATTACACCTTGCTTTGCTAAGTCTAAAGATTCCCTTTGCCACTTGCACAGTTTTTAACTCCTCTTTATTCTTCAAAATCGTACATACAGTAGTACCCCGCTTAACGCGGTCAATTGAACCCACAGGGTACCGCGTTAAGTGAAAACCGCGTTAAGTGAACAACAGAACATATGGGATTAATTCCAATAGAGACTGGCCCGACCCCCAAACTCCACTTTTTGACGACACACAACTATGTTGTAGTAAAAATTTTATCTTAACTTTATGATGGTATGCACACACAATTAATAATTAAGAGAAATATCAATAATATTAGGTTTTTTAACACTTGCATTAGTAGAAAAGATGGCTGGGCACACGGGGATGGGGGGTTGGTTCCGAGGCAGAGGGCAGATTATTGGCCCTCACCTGTATCACTTGTATCAATTGTATCACTATCCACCACAGAGGCTTGCAGGGCCTCTTTGTCAAACCCCTCAAAGGCCATATAAGTCCATATCCTCACTATAATTATCACTATCACTGACTTGGGCCGGCTGTGGTGGGTGGCGGGTGAAGAACTCGGTAATGTTTTGATGACTGGGCGACCTTGTGCGCATCGTGCCCGCGCCGCTTCCCGCGTATATGATGAAAAATTCCGCGTTAAGTGAAAGTTCAGCTCTGGCGAGGCACCGCGTATATGATAAAACGCGTTAAGTGAAACCGCGTTAGGCGGGGTAATACTGTATAGTCGATTTAGCCATCCCATATTCATCACTAAGTTTCGCAATGCTTCCATTCTCACGTTTCTTTATAATTTCTTTCTTAGTTTCAAGGGTTATTAGCTTTCTCACTTGCTTTGGACGACTCATTGTTACAATTGTATACTTGTATAACAAAATAGTTATACAAATAACGCGAATTTCCACATCAAAAGACGAAATTTCAACAATAACAGTGGTGCACTGGCTACACAATGAGACAAAGATGGCGCCTGACGCTCTTGTTGTGGGTCGCAGTACAACAATATTCATGCGCCAGGCGAAATAGTCCGGTATTCATCCGCGTTCGTTGTAGGAGTTGCGTTCGTTATAGCATTCTCAATTTTATAGGTAAAACCGTTCGTTATAGGAATATTCGTAGTAGGATCCGTTCGTTATAGCATACCCCACTGTACATTGTTTCTCACTCTTGATTTTTTTTTTCATTTTTGCATTTCTTTATGGTTCTTTATTATTACCTGTATTATTATTATTATTATTATTATTATTATTATTATTATTATTATTATTATTATTATTATTATTATTATTATCATTATTATTACGTTATCGCCCCCAGGCCCCAATGTGGGTCAGTGACCTGTGCCCGGGTGGGCTAATCCCCGTAAAAAAAAAATTAATAAAATAAAAAAATAAAATAAAATAAAATAAATTTTTTTAGGGGTTCGGCATTGACGGTTAATCCGAAAGTCGGTTAATCGAGGTTTTCCTGTACTTTGTATGTACTTTTCTGTGAGCTGGAACCAATTACCCAATATCCCATTGAAATAATGGATTCGGTTAACAAAATTTTCGGTTAACGAACGACTCTGTGGAACGAATTGTGTTTGTTAACCGAGGGACCACTGTATATATACAGCTCCTCCCCGACTTACGACCTACTTGACTCACGACCACCCGCACTTACGACCTGCCTCAGTTGTACCAAAATTTTGTCAAATTACGTATTTTCGAGTCCCAACGTCAGTACACAGAGAAAATTTTCGTTTGTAATTCACTTTAAAATGGCTGGAAAGCTTACAAGTGAGTTTTGTGGTGCTGAGAAGAAAAAGAGACACTCATTTTAGATTTTCTATGTATTACTTAAGCCTTTTCGACTTAAGACCATTTAGACTTACAACCTGGATTTGGGTCCCTAACCCCGTCGTAAGTCAGGGAGGAGCTGTATATATATATATATACAGTACACAGTACATATATGCAAATAAATCACTTTAGTTGCACGTGATCCATGTACAATTCAGTATATGCCGTTAACCACATACGTACACACACACAAAAAAGAAGACATGAAGTTCCCAAGCGCTTTCATGTGATTCACATCTTTAAGGGTAAGTACAGACACCTGTCTGTACTTACCCCTAAAGATTAACATAGTGTTGATCTTTGGAAGTCGACGACAGTACAGTGCAGAATCAGATCCAGGAATATCAAAAGAGAGGGGGGTTCAAGAAGTTGTGGACAGGGAACATGGCGAGCGCAGCGAGCCCACTCAGTTGGGTTTCTTTGGGGGGTGGTGTAATCTCCCCTGAAAAGGTTTTGAAATCTGACCAATCTCATGGGCATTTTGAGGCAGTTTTGAAGCCATGTGCACTTGATATTAAGAGATATTCTGAGGTCAATAGTACTGTAATTACTTTTTACTAATAGTAAAATGCCTGAGTGCAATACTGCATTAAAGAAAAAGTATTGGAGTTTTCTGATGAAAAGGTGGTGGTCTGGACCACCAGGACCCCCCCCCTGCAGTACCATTTTGGAGGAATGTTGAATGAAGGTGCATTCACACCTCACAAGTTTTCAAGCTATGGATATTACAGATAATATTCCACTGGATAGTATAAGCAGAGCAAAACAAAAGACTACTAATAACCCTCACTCACAAGTGATGGTTAGAGTTACATATAAAAATTAAGAGGATTTTTCTGCATAATTAAAATTTAAATCAAAGTTACCTTATGTTCACAGAGGTCATCTATTTTTGCTCCCGACTTTGCCCGCAGGTAGTAGTGGTGGAACACTCTGCCATCCCAGAAGGCCCAAGGCACTGCCTGCCACCAAACAAGTCACCACGGTTTATATATTGCATCATTTACGAGAAGTATAGCAGAATTGATTAAATGACTTACTTTATAAGTAATCACTTGGGTCAAAAATTATAAACCAACACTGATATCACACCGTATACATATAAATAATGCCAAGATGCTCTATAAAAGGAGAAACTTACATTTTTACGTTCAACTGGGAAGTCACACACTGCCAGGAGGAAATATAAATTGACAAGTCCCTTCATGAATATAGCAGCTACATGCACAGCTCGTGCATCAATTCTTGGCAGTGCCAGTGCCCGGATCTGGTTAAGGTCATCACGTGTTGGTGACAAGAATGCAGCAATCATAGCGTTCATCTCCCAGTCCTTCAAAATTGGTTTTGGTTGACTGCACTATGAAGGTTAAAAAAATAAATTAGAAAAAATCTTATATCAGGATGAAAATAAAATGATTGAAAAATTAGTGTTATCGTGGTAATAATCACTGACTACTAATAACTACCATAGCCTCCACATAAATTAACTAACCTGTAAATAAAAGAGAATGGCAACAGGTACAATATGGTTGGGAGGAAGGGAGCGGATCTTGGTTTCACTGAAAACTGGATTAATGGCATCAAGGAAAGTTCTCCACTTGAGGTCCTGATCACCGTCCCACAGTTCTTCTAGTGATGGACTTCCTCCTGTAAATGTTTATTTCCATATTGCATTAACAAAATAAGATTAATAACATCAGCATATACTATACACTGTCATGATCTTACGTTAATTCTCCTCATAATTTATATTTGAGGAGGTAAAAAAAAAAATTGAATAAAATCTTGACTTACCTTCTAGCTCAACAGGATCCACCATGTCTGGCTCCTTGAGGGTGCTGCCTGAGTACATGCACCACTCTGGAACCTGATTCAACCCGTCTGTCAATATGAGGAATGTGTCACAAACTACTTCTCAGACATTATCTCCCTTAAGGCTTAAACTATATCTTAAAGCATAATTTCTCTTCATACAGCAGGGTGGCTACATCTGCTTTACTGAACTCCACACTCCTAACATTCTCTGCTTTCCTCTTATTCACCACAAGTCCTTTCTCGTTATAACATAGAATGACTATTCATATACCTCCTATATAGTGACCCGAAGAAAGTAATGAGAGGTAAGTTAACTTGATGGTGACCTGAAGAAAGTAACAAAGGTACTTACTGATGATAACCAAAGGAAAGTAATTAATATTTAGGTATTGATAATGAACTGGGTAAAGTGAAATAAATGATTTATTGAGAGTAACAAATAGTTCATAAGATTAAGAAAGTCAGTTAGCAAAGGTGTCAAGAGCTAGTGGAAGGAAACACAGAGCCTATTACAGTGCCCAAGTGGAACACACAACTGTTATGTAAGTGGCACCTGTCTAACTGGGCCCCTAGTCCTAATAAATTCCAACCTCACCAAATCATTAGTATTAAAGCTTAATTCTAATGAGTTCCAGGACACTATGCCAAGTGTGGGAAAATGGCCAAAAAATTATGGCACTGATGATGAATTAGGTTCTAATACAACTGGGGCCTACATGACAGCATCCGCATACTCAGTATTTCCCAAAAGGGAAGCGAGTGAAGAATGGTGAAGTTAACATATTAGAAAAGAGCGAAGAATGAAGCATGGAGAAAGGCAAGGAGAGAAAATTGAAACTATGAAATAAGAGATGAGGGGCAAAAAAGGTTCAAGGGTGAGGGGAAGTAGTGGAGGAAGACAACCCACTTCCCAAACACTTGAATTTATAAACCTGCATAACATCACTGACGACAGTGACTTTCTTGGTAGTTGATACAGTACATCAATGTACAATAATCATGTGTTTCCTTGAGGAGACCAGTAACTACTAACATAAAATTACCCGGTACACTTTACTATCTAACTTCCCATTCCTTTATCAATCAAGTCTTCCACTTCAACTTGCTCTGAAGCTGAATTACGGCAAAATTCATATTTATTAGACAAATCAACTTGTATCATTATTTTGAACACTGTAGGTACATCAGTCTCTTGTATGTTCAAGTAATTCTTATGGGAGTACAAAGAAAAAGTTGAGTAATTTAGTGAGGTTCATGAATCTGTCACATAATCTGAGCCAGCAGATGCACCAAAGAATGTGTTATGCCTGGCCCATACTGGTAAAGAAGAGTTGTGTGTCTTCTCTAACTGACTACAAATAGCAACTGTATTCTTGATAATGTAACCTTCTGCTGGTTATCAAAAGCAAACTCTCTACACACATTGTGGGGGCATCAAAATTTCAAAAGAAAAATGGAATAGAAGATAAAATGTCACAAATATAATTAAATTAAAATTAAATCTATTTTGATGGAGAACTTAATACCTGCATGTGCTACCCTGCTGTAGGGTGAGAAATGGCATAATGAACACATGTAATTTTTGCATAATATTCTAAAACCTCCACATTAAGTATCTGGCACTATATTACTGTACATGAAACATTTATGGTTTCCAAAAGTCATTCAAATTTTATATTTTCAATTTCTGATAATACTACAGAGCTGAAAGACCATTAAAAAATATTGAAAAAATTTGAAATTGTACAAAAAATAATTCAACGGGGAGGTGGAGAGCCGAGGAAGTCCATTTATGAGAAAAAATACCCAGATTTTTTTTTCTCTTCAAATATTACATTGTAGAATGTGTGACATCTATTGAATACTGTGAATTTACTTTACTGCCTCCAAACACAAAAGTTAAAACACTTATTGACAACGCAGCATAGTCTCGGTCTACGCGGATTTCTTATACGCGGTTGGTCATTTACGCAGCACCTGTCCTGATGCTCCAATTATTAGTTACGCGGTACATTCCTGAATTTACGCGGGAAACAGCACGGACAAGCTATGCGCTAGGTCGCTCTTACTTCACCGCTGATCGTCAAATGACGTTTCGGACTATGATTGGGCCACGTATCCTTACCACCCACGCACCCCCTCCGCCGCGAGCTGTGATTAGTCTATTTAACTTTGCTTGCCCTGCCACCAAGGGCGATGACCTTGACTGCGTCAGTCCCATTGTCTCCCGTCTCCGCGTTTACTCCCTCGTGCCCGCTACCCACCACAGCCAGCCCAAGTCAGTGATAGTGAGGATATGGACTTTGAGGGGTCTGACAAGGAGGCCCCGCTAGCTTCTGTGGTGGATAGTGATACAGGTGATACAAGTGAGAGCCAATAATCTGCCCTCTGCCTAGGAACCAACCTGTGTGCCCAACCATCTCTTCTACTAACCTAAGTGTTAAAAAACCTAATATTATTGATATTTCTCTTAAATATTAATTGTGTGCATACAATCATAAAATTAAGATGTTATTTTTACTACAACGTACATATTGTGTCAGGAAAAGGGGTAGTCTGGCAGTCGGCCCAGTCTCTATTTCCATTAATCCCATATGTTGTTATTTCGTTTACGCGTTATACGTGGACCTCCAGGGGTTTAATTGACCGCATAAAACGAGACTATACTGTATACTAAAGCCTTACAGATAATTAAACTGTTATAAAATCACTATTAAATTAACTTACAAGCAATTTACTATAATATGCTGTACTGTACTCTTAGCAATTGCTATTATATCATTACTATTTTAACAAGTGCTCACATATCCAAGCAATGTTCATATGTTGGCACAAGATACATTCAAGCCAGTTATCGCAAAGTACACAGCAAGGAAGAGATAAGTGTACAGTTTGAACGCACCTGTACTTTTGGTGAACTGCACCGACATAGGCAAACTAACTTTCATACTCTAAGGGACTGTCCTCTAAACTTTTCCAGCATTCATAGTCTTGATAAGAGTCCAACTAACAACACAATGCATTACTAAGATGAACTTGGGTCTCAATTCTCACTACAAACTACAGTAAGTATTTAGAAGTCAGACCCTTAGCAAAGAGTGCACAACCTTTAGCCAAATATATTGTAACTATGAGAAAAAGAAAGAAGGTACATAATATTGTCTTAGACTATATGATACTGATCATCAAGATGTGCACAAAGCAAACATTCTCATTTTTTCACTCTGGTGTCTAGCTCAAAAAATAACACAAAGTTTCTAAAATAAAAAAAAGATAGTGCCAAAGGTGGTCCTTAAAAAAAGCAATTTGGTGATGTCTCTGTAAATCTAAGAAAATTTTAGGAATATTCTTACTAAATTTCCTCCTATGGCCTCTCGTGTAATGAGAGCGTTTAGGTTCTGGAAAATATTCACAAAAATTACTCTAAAGCATAGGCGTCTATCATGGAGGGACAGGGATGTGTTCCTTGTGAAGAAGGACATCATACCTTTTGTCACCTTCCTACCAGTCTGCAAACTCATGTTAACACTCTTGTTTACAATACTTACAAAAGGCTTATATAGAAAGGAGGAATGATCCTGAAATCCTAGTTTCTAATGGAGCCCCTAGAGCCAGGTAGTCCTTATGATACAAGTTGCTTTCCACTGGAATGTTGTTTCCCCATAATAAAAGTCAGGTATGATGTGTTAACTCATTCAACTATGCTAATCACCCCTTCCTCCCCATCTACCTCAAGTGAGGATGACGAGGTGTAGTGGTTGCCTTCTGGAGGCTCGTGGGTCTCTTATGTCCAGCCAGTACACTTTGCACCAAAGTTACAGATAATTGCATGATGTCAAGATCAATCCATTAAAGTGTTTTGAAATTCAATTCCAGTGAAATCCTTAACCATAGTCTGATAATGTAACCATCAGAAAGTGTAGAGGCATCCAAGGAACATACTAAGCTATCAGCCTGTACTTCTACACCTGCTCTTAGCTTTTATAGTAAATAAGTTGTCAGAGAACCGGTCTGATGCCAACATTCCTGGTGACGGTCAGCTGGCAACTACGGTAAGTTTCAAACAGTAAACTGACTTTGACATTACAATACTGGACTGCAACTCTGGCAAGAAGTGTGTTGACTGGACAACTAACTGAGCAGCTGTTACCCCTACGGTATATCTGGCTCACCTGAGGTGGAAATTGTAACAGGGAAGGTGGAGTAATAGTTATATCTACAAGGGTTGACATATCAACTCTGACATATTATGGGAATGGTAGAGATGCCAATCACCTAGTAACCAACCTATATTATAACAGCATCCTGGCCTAAGGGCATAAGCCAGATTTTTTTTTTTTTTTTTACAAATTAAAAAAAAAGTTAATGTGATACAAGTAATTTTTAAACTATCATCATCATTAATGGGCTATGAGCAGTAAGGATTCTGTGGATATTGTTCGATGCATCCACTAATTCTTGCCATGCTTAAGTGATTTTCTTTGTGATTTGGCTGATCTTTGATTAAAGCCTTTGTTGTTATGAAGCATCAACATTAAATATGAGGTACAGTGAATATAGGAGTGGTGGAAACATTAAGGATGCCCCATATTTCTTCTTGTGATGTGTTCACAAAAGGTGTAAGGAACTTTGGAATATAAAAAGTGGCTGCCAGGTCAGGCAATCATAACTTTACTTTATATTCTAATACTGTATTCACAACAAATTATACAGAAATTAGTATAAAAAAGGTAAAATCAATGAACAACGTGGCTGCCAGAAGGCTATGGTAGTGACAAGTGTGTCCGTGTCTCCATCATCAACAATCATGGGTGGTTATCATGGGGTGCAACAGGTCCTCCCCAATATTGAGTGACAATCAATGCCCATGCTCTAATGTACAAAAGTGGGGGAGGGATACTTTCTGAAGCCAAGGAGTATTACTAATATTGAAAATTTAAAAAACAGCAGCCGATTTGTATTCATAGTTTCTGTTGAAGGCATTACCATACTCAGATAAAACAAACTTAAAACAACAGACCACTCAAGTTTGTCCTTCACCTTTCAGTGGAAATAGTTCATAACTCATTCACTTGATAACCTTTAAAAAAAGAGAATAATATGAAATGACAAGACAAGAAATCTTTAAACACATACACAAAGCCACACATGGAGAACAAGAGTGTACACAGATGTTAGGCAGTTTGAATATAATTGTACTACTGTACCACTAAGAATACCATAAATGACATCATTCAGCCTTCATATACCCTGTACACTCAGGTTACCCACACATTTTTTTTTATCAGTTATAGCCTTAAGAGTAAGTGTGAGCAAATGTGTGCATAAAGTTGAGTTATTGTGTGGTCAAATTTGAGCCAGGTAGGTGGCCAGCTGCTGCTTGATGTACAGCTGGTACAGTGCAAGTCCATCCAAGGCAAGAACTTCCTAGAGAATACTGTGCTAGACATGAAAACACGATGAAATATCTCCCATTTACACAGAGAAGTAAACCCACAACAAACACCTACCATATTGAACTTTGAGTCACCTGTAAAGCATAAGGAACTTGATAGACCAACATGGGCTACCCTAAAACAAAGCACACATTTTGGACAAAACTTTACAAGCTCACTCCATGCTGTTCATTTTATGGTTCCCTTGCTCTTGTTCACCAAGTCATTGTAAATACTATAGGTCATCAGTTTCTTATACATGATATGTTTAGTATTCAGAGTTTAGACTCTGACTACTGACTCAGTTCTGTACTACCAGGAATTAATTCTTCTGAATCAGTTTTGTTACTATGGCTGGACTGGTTACAAACGACAATATCAATTATTTTTTATCAAGACAGAAAGATGAAGTAAGTGAAAGCTACATTTTCTACCTGTCTGAGGTAACATGCAAGACCCTTAAGGATCCTGTTGTGGTAAGTAATCCAGCACTCATCCTTCCCTCTCTAGCCAACACATGGCAAATCAAAATGAACTTTACAAGTACAGAAGCCTCAGGTTGTTTATATATATTTTTATATCCAATTCCTTGTTGAGCAGCTGCCTCAGGTACAACCATTTTCTTATAACCTACCAGTCACTGACATAACATTTAGCCTTATGTAAGTGACACAATAATGGACCAATGAAGTGATTAAGATATCAATTCTTGATAATTAATATGTCCTTTATTAAGAAGACTCCATGTACAGTAGTGACTGTGTGGCTGGCGACCTCACCATATGGATGGCCATGAGCTACTACACAACAGCCTCCATGTTTACATTTGGGATGGATCTAATTTCATCCACGGAAAAAAATCATAAAAAAACAATATTAATAACTTATTCCTTCTGAAAAGTATCTATATGATAGTGATCAATGTGAGTCATTCCCCCTTTAATATTTCACAGATAAAAAATATATTTGAATTAGAGATCTGATTCTTTAAGGAGCATTTATGAGGTACACTCATCACAAAAAGTTCTGAAACACTCTAAGGTCATACAACATAAATAAATGAACAAGAAATCTAAACGTTGCTCTCTGAAGAAGTTTTATTGTAAATTAAAGTGCCCGCACTTCTTTTCACCTGTAAATACTTTAAACATGAACAACATATATTATTACTCAATAATAAGAGTCGCTTCACAACCAGGATACCAACCATTCCGAGATGACACGACCCATAGCGCTCATTCTGAAATCTGTTGTGTCCAACTGTTCCAAAACTTTTTGTGGCAATTGTACATTTATTTCTTAATGAGAATTACATCCCAATATTTGTCTTAAAAACAAAGATGAAACACCTAAAGTTAACCTGCATAATAGGAGTTTCCACCAAAATGAACAGTGTAGTCAGCTTTTAAAGCAAAGCTGCAAGTACTATGCAGGTAGAAGAGAACAACACATAAGGGAGCTATAATGTGCAACCTTGCTCAGCCATTTTGTACAATTTCTCAAGTTTTTATTTATTTTCTTTTTACCTTTTCAAGCCTTTCCTCCTCTTAATATAGAGAAGTAACAAACAAGAGCACACACGCACGCACATTTTTCCTTTATTAGTTTACAAGGTTAAAAAGTATGAACAAGATACATTTGCAGATACTGTACACTGAATAGTGTGGACAAAAGAAGAGAGGTATTCAGAATAGCCAGGCAAATAGTGGGTAGAAACAGGGATGTTGTTGGTGAGCAGTGTGAGAAATGACCATGGTTGTGTGGTTGTTGATAATGAGGAAATCAACAGTGAAAATACTATTATCAACTAATGAACGAGGAGTACTGTACTCGTAGGAATGGCACAGGGGCAGTGTAGGAAGTAACAGAACCAGTACAGGAACCATGTCCAAGGATTGAAAGAGAATGGGAGAAGTAAGCAGCTGACAAAATGAAAAATTAAAGGTGGCTGGAAGCTCTGGAATAGTTGTAGAAATACTAAAAGTATTAGATGATAGAGGTGTGCCAACGGTAACCAAATTAAATAATGCAATAGTCACAAAGTGAAAACATGAAACTTATATAAAATAAAACATGTTAGTAAAACAACATGATCTGGATGGATAGATAACAAGGCAACACTTGACATACACAACATGGTGAGCCATAAAAACAAGGAAAGTTAAATTAGTAACAAAGGAGTAAACTAAGTAATGTGTCAAAAATGTTACATTAAGTCTATTTATGACTGGTTCCTTCCTACCTGAAAGGAGAGGGTACAGCAGTACTGTACATATATAATTAACATTATATAAAAATTAAATTAAGAAATGTGTTATTTTAATAAACTGTACATCACACGCAAGTTTATATCTGTTTAGATATTGTGAGTGAGTGTACAGTAGTGACAGTATTCTACATGAACATTTTTAGAGTGAGTGAGGGACATGAAGTGAGCAAGTGACTGGCCCTAAGCTTATCATACAGTACTTCAGTCACGGTATACTGTACAGTATTCTTAATGGTTCCACATTATGGCTGCCCATACCTATACAACTGCTGTATCTTCTTGTATTTACTTAATAGAAATGGTTATTAGTTAGGTTCAAAATACAAAAAAAAAAAATAATCATAATAATTAAAACTAAGATTTGTGATTTAATGTTACCAACTATTTTTCTTTGTTCTCTCAAGAACACACACATGGAGTATGGGGTAACAAAAAAATTTAAGCTGCAGTGTGTACTAAAATTCTCTGCTTCTGTTTCACTTCCACACCGCACACTTCTCAGACCAAAATAACAAAATCAACCAAAGGTAACACATACAGTACTGTACTGTTCTGAACAACACAATGCAGGAGACACAAACCACTACAAACTACAAGGCAAAAATTATGTTGAAAATTTAGGTTAATAAATCACATAATACTTTGGAGGTGTTATACCAGCATGCTTCAAATTAATGAAGATCTCTACCCACTGGAAACTAAGGCTTTCTAATACCCCAGGAAACAGCAACATGGAGTTAAAAATATAAAGGGAAATAAAGTTCTTTGAAAATATGAGAGAAAACTTGTGGCCAAAAAAATATATACTTCTGTACACACAAAAATGAAACTTTACGCTGATGACCTTCAGCAACTGTACCTACGATGGAAAGAATCCTAGAATAAGCTACATAATACTGTACACAGTATGGACACTGCCACACTACTCTAACCTTTGGCAGACTTTTGCAATATTCTGTACAGTTTGGCCCGCAGAGACTGGAACACTATGGCACCAGATGGGAGATTAGAAGAGTAATCTTCAAGGGTGGTCGAGGACTCGTATGGCTCCCCCCTCAGTATTGTGTACAGGTGACGGCCCAGTTCGGAATTTATGTGACGTAATCGCACTCTCTCCATGATGTCCAAACCCTAAAAGAATAAGTGATTAATGGGTAAGCTGAAACTTCACTTATCCACTTAATACAGTATATAGTATACACAGCATACAACAACGGTGAAGAGGGTTAGATGGGTAGCCGGGAGGATTGTTGTTCCTCCAGGAGAGATATATATGTGGGTGTACTATATGATTATACAGGTATATAGTATTTCCACGCTAAGCTGACCCATAAGCCCTGCCCCTCGTCTATACCTACAAATAGCTGATTGGTTCCCATGAGCATTTTACCTCCCACAGGACTACGCTTATATATATTGACCTTTTATAATAAATATTTAAAACTTTCTAACATCCTCTCCGAAGTGCTAATGCCTCGAAATGATTCACATGTTCATAATCCATATAATTAACATTATTTTAGATAATAACAGGTCTGCTTAACAATTGTGAACACATTTATTAAGTTTTAATTTTCTATGAACCAATCAGCTATTAGTATAGAAGAGGGGTGGGCCTATGGGCAAAGTTAGTGTGGAAAGGGTATAGTTAATGGAGGAGATCTCTAACCCTATTTACTTAGGATCACTAGTTGGAGTGATCAGGATAGATATTACCATAATTAGCTACTTCATCAGTGGAGCTAAAGAACAGGTGTTATGAAAATAAGTCAGAAAATGTGGAATTTGTATGAGGGTTACACAAGCCCTCCCATGGAACAATAACCTGGCTAAACATTGTACACATTTATATCAAAATATGACAGTTTGTATTGAAAATAATAGTTCATAAAACAAATGAATAGCTTTAAATAAAATGTGTTGGAGGGAATATTAGTGTATGTACCACCTTATAAGATCTCCATTACAGCCATGACTGAAGATTTGGATAAAAACAAACTCCCAACATTTGTGGGTCTTCATACAAAAGTACTTGTGGAAGTTTTATTTATTTATTTATTTATTTTTAATATGTCACTGATGCTGATTACAACATTTTCAGTTGCGGTCAAACAAGAGACACCATTAAGACTGACAGTACTGAGGGCATCACAATCTCTGTAAAGTACTGTACAGTAATATGGAATGAAGGTGCGGACTGACATGTCAAAGCCTCATTCAATCACAAGAACATTATGCTCCATTCCTTTCAATCATTTATCAAAACACATCTGCCATCAAAACACTGAAACCTTGGTCACATAAACCCTCACTGTGAATGCTGTACTGTATTTAGATCTTCATAACATAATGGATTGTTATTTCAATTAATGTCACCATTACAGTACTTACAAAGTAACTTGATGCAAAGTTTTATAAAGTTTTTGCACTTTTCTTCCCTTCATCAACTCATTTGTACATCCAAAGTCTTATAATTTCATATCTTTATTAAATAAATCCTTGGCAATGGAAATGTCCTTCAGTAGTTATACAATACAGTACTGTACTGAATGTCTTTGCCAACACCCTGCATCTGCTATTAACCATATTATACTCCAAGTTATTTAATAATTTTAATTTACAGGCGCCCTCCAGGTTACGGAAGTTCTGGTTACGGAAATTCGCTCTTACAGATTTTGTAAATTATGACCAATAAATTCGGGAAACGGACAAAAAATTCGCCCTTACGGAAATTGGGTAAATTTTCAAGTTAAATTTTTGCTTCAATACTATTAGGAAAAAAAACACAGAAATTATACAATTTATTTTGTGTAGATTTCTTGGTGGTTGGTACAATACTGTACAGGGCAAGGCAGGAGAGAGTAGTGCCCTTCCGTCTCCCTTCCGGTAACTCAGATTGCACCATCCTACCTCACCACCTCACCTAATGCAGCACTCAACATCGCTTGTGGTAAGCTAAATTCAAGTGTTTTGTATATAAGGTATTTATTATCATATTATATCATAAAATAATCAATGTACGATTTAAAAAATTATTTTCATTCATAAATGTGCTTGTATTATGTCTTTTTGCCGAAAACATTTCCTTGGGAATGCATGTCCAATTATATAATGGAAGTCAATGGGAAAACTGGATTGGCATTACGGAATTTCATGTTATGGACAAATTTTCAAGGACACATACCTTCTGTAACTCGGGGATGCCTGTATTTGGATACAGTATCTCAAATTCCCCTTCAAGAGAGCTACTACTGTACTAGATTCAACAATATAAACTTCATAAAGAAAGACAGATCATGATTGAGTGAAAGAGGAAATAGAAAAGTAATTTAATTCTCATGGAAGAGACAGATATGAAGGTTTAAACTAACAGGGACTTTTCCAATATCTGCTACAATACTGTCCTATATACCAAAGGTTAGGTCTTACTAAAATGGTTGTTAGAAATTACCGATGTATCTTCAATCTTCTGGGTGAACTCATCTGGGCCGGTCTCAAGATCCAGTTGGTACATCTTGATGCCTTCCACTAGCAGGTGGGCGCGATTCTCATCTCGGAATACTGCCCTGTGTCAGTAATAGTACGACATGAAATGAGTAAATACAATACAGACACGTTAAGTTCTGTTTATTGAATAAACTATTAACTCGACTTCGATCGAACAACCTGACAATCTTGGGTATGAAAATTCACTTATTGAACCTCTATTCAATTTAACCCTCTTTGGAGATGTAGTCAGAATGGTTAGAATTTAGTGACTGTCTACAAAAGATTAACTAACAAAACTTTGGGTGATACACTGCTCACACACCTGCCAGCAGCCTCAACAAGCTTGTTGTCAGTTAAGTTTTTATTTTAATTTACACTTAATCATTTTATTACTCACTCACAGAGATACCTTTAAACTCATATAATGTATTAATCAGCTTTCCTACCCATAATGTATGAGAGAGAACAATAACCAACAAAGTGACTGGGAAGATGAATACAATAATCATTCAATTTTACCCAAGTTTACAACCATCCTATGTGTCTTAATGTGCTCACACTCATGCACCTACGCACGCCATGCAGCGAGCACACACACACACCTGCATCCTAATAGCTTCTACAGTTTACAATGCCCTATATAATCACTGCTACATTTTTTTTTTAATTACAGGAAACCCATCCCAAATTATGTTTAGCTACTGTAAATGTGTTTGAGAGCACCAAACTAATAACCAGTGTTAAAGGTTGCAGCACAAGAAGATGTGTTTGTTAATTTACTTATAGATTTATCATGTGTTACTACAGTACAGTAAACCTAAAGTATTAAAGAGTACAGTAGGTATCTGCACAAAATCATTTTTTCTGTAAAAATATCTTAAATGCTCGAGGCAGAAAGTCAGTGTTGATCTTGTGTGAGAAAAAGTCAATGTTGAAAATTAATGTGTCTCTACAGCACTGTGATGGTAAAAAAAAATCAAACATTACTGAACTCTAAAGTACTGAAGAACACCTTAATAAAACTGTGTTCACTATAAAAGTATCTTTAATGTATCAAGTGGTGTTGGTGGCTTGTTGTGTCAGTGAGGGAGAGGAGCCTGTCTAATAGTACACTCATACTCATCTTCTACACCAACAACACTGTCTAATGCACTCAAATTCAGTCTTGGCCAATTATATGTAATATTTCTTGTAAACATCTTAGCGGTACAGTACGTATATATTTTTAATCTATTATAATGTTTTGGGTTGTTTAAAATGGTGACCTGGCCAGGAGGGGTAGTTGCTGAAGCAGGTGGTCCATGGAGGGCTGCGTGTTGATGAAGGTGGCCACTTTGGGGATGAGGATCTCTGGTGGGGGGCGGTTGTGGTGACGGTGGTGATGATGGCTTGACATCTTAAGTGACTGCTGGTGGAATAACAGCAGATCCTCTTGACGGATTACATCATTTCCTACAATATCAGAGGTCAGCGTTGATTGAAAAAATCTAGTCTGGTATTGGGATCAACTGTTCCACATTAAAAGTGAAATATGGAGGACTTGTACACATTCACAGACGATAAGACCACATGTGAGAACAAGTAGCATCAGGCGAAAGTTGCCTCGAATAATTAGTTTAATTTGATAATTCAAAAGCTATGTGAAAATAACAATAATATATGATTAATATAAATAAATATAAAATTGATACCGAAGCTTCACTAGTTCTTGAAGCAGCCAATGTCAAAGGGGGCTCTAAGTTTACTTCAGCATTGGTTCACTGGGTGACAAGTTGTAAACACCAATTACAGTAATAAGTTTGGACAATGTAAACCTACTCTGAAAACAAGTCAAGCAGGTTGGTCAGGTGCTGTTACGTTAGCAATGTACAGTATCACAGGTAACTTGCTGACAACCTCCACATAATAAAATGTTGTCAAACTTTGAACCTCTGTGTGTTCAGCATTACTGTACAGTACTGTGCTGCAAGAGAACCTTTGGCTCACCTATAAGGCAGGAGAGGACGGGCAGCTGATCGATGGTGATGTGAAGAACACGAGACAGAGCGTTACGGTCGTACATAATAGTGTCCAGAGTTTCTAGGTTTAGGTGATTAATAGAAAAGTAGTAATGAGACGTGTTGTAGATTATATAGTCTGAGTCCTGGCCTAAGATCCCCATGGCACCAAACTTCTTGGCATACTCTGCTACAGCCTTGTCGCACTCATCCAGGCAAGTAAACACCGGGCAGCCCAGAACATCCTGCAAGTGGATATTTACACACACTTTATAAAATCATGCTGTCTCTATTAATGGAAATAACATACAAACATGCACACCAACTCAAAAACACATACAGTATACACAATTTATAATCTTGCATGCAACCCAAATTCCATGACCCATTATGATCTTATCCCACCTGGTACAGGGAGCCCCCAAAGTTCACGGATTTTTACTTTGCGGTCCTCTATTATTCGCAGATGACACCCTGGATGTACCCAAGAATGTCTGTGGGTAGTTTTAAATTGCCGGCATTTTCACGGCTGGGACAGGGAGCCATTCGTTCTAGAGACAGTAATTTCCTTTACCTGTATTGTAAATGTGTGTGTAGACACACACACACAAAATACGTACAAATAAATAATACCTTAATTGGAAAATCCTCTCACAAATAATCAGAAACAAATTTATTAAAAATGTAAGTCTATCCTCAAGTCCATGCTCTAATAATAACGTACTGTAATAGAGCATGGACTTGAGGGTAGACTCCCATTTTTAATATATTTGTTCCTGATTATTGTGAGGATTTTCCAATTATTATTTATTTGTACGTGTTTTGTATGTGTGTGTGTGTGTGTGTGTGTGTGTCTACACACACATACACATATTATTCACGGCCATTTTGAGAACCTAACCCCCGCGAATTAGGGGGGCCCCCTGTACAGTAATAAGAGTGTACAAAATATAATAGCTTCAATTAATCAGAGTACAGTCCTCATATCTGAGGGTTGGCAATGGCAATCTTCCACTCTAAAAGTTCTCTGGCAGTTTTTACCAAACCTCCAAGGTTTTGTGTGTCTGGGGAACCTGTTTTTAATTTCATTCATTTATCCTAGTCTCTGCCTTCCCTGGCCATCCTAACCTCAACTTTTACAATTAATATTTCGGTTATTATCTCCTCATCCCTAATTACTGTATATAATCAAAGTACTGTATTTAATTTTTCTTTTTCTGTACATTTCAAGTATTTCTCTTGAAGTTTTTGCTAATCTTAGTACTTCTTCATTTGTTTTAATGTCAGTAAAGCTTATTTTTAGCATTCACCTTTAACACCACATTTCAAAGGCCTCCAACTTCTTTCTGGTGTCTGCTGAAAGTGTCCATGCTTCTGACCCATACAATAGTCCTTGCCATGTAAAGCCTTTTAGCAGCCTTTTTCTCAAATTTAATGTCTCTTTTCCATTAGGCCTTTTAGACTATTAAATGATGTTTTTGCTTGTCCTGTTTTTGTTTTGATTTCTTCCACACACCTACCATCACAGCTAATGTTGCTTCCCAAATACGAAAATTTCTCCACTTGTTTAAGTTACCTATTGCCTACTACAATTTCTATTTTAAGATTTATTTCCAATTTGGAAGCAACCATTATTGTACATAATTGTGGTTTAATAAATAAGAGAGTATTTGATCATGCATACAAATTTATATACAGTACTGTAAATATAAAAGGCACTTTTTCCCCCACAAGCATGAGAGCCCATCAGGGACACAGTAGATACTGTAGTGGATCCTCTCCCCTACAACTCCCAACTGAGCTCCGGCCGCGCGCCTACCAGCCAATCAGCGTACAGCCAGGGAGACCATTCTACACTCGGCTACCGGCCCAGCAACATCTCTCACAGCTCCTCACCACCCAGCTTCCTCAGAAACCTCCTCGCCCTACAGGACCTCTGAGCAAGCTTCTCCTCACCTCGTCACTCCTAAGCACTGCACTGTACAACAATATATATACAGAAAGCGCATTGTGAGTTTCCTTCCTCCATCCCATCCTGAGTGCAAACACAATCATACCCCACAATACTACACACTGAATACTAAACCTCAGTAGTTAATGAGTCAATGTGACCAGCACTGCATTTCACTACCTTTACTTCTCCATCTCAAGTCAGGCACCCATCCACACCTGGGCCTACTGGTGGTGAAAACAGTGACCATTTGGATAGAAACAAGTCTTGGTTTCTGTTAAAAAATTGTAAATTTGGAAGCTGCAGTTATACAGTACATGTATCGTAAAACCTTCAATTCTAATGCCAATACTGTACTGTACCAATATTTTGTAATTTCTAAAAACTATGTATCACATGTGTGGTGCACTGACATAGCCTTTACATATATGGCAACTGAACCCCTACAAAAGAAAGATACCGTACTTATTAATTACAGACAGATACTTGTCTTACAAGTGAGGCAGCTTCTTATAATACTACACAAGCTGTCAAGTGGGTGTTCAATGTCCTCAAACATCTTCCACTTGCAGAGACAAACTGGTGGCCCACATGGGTACACCAGTCACCCTTCCCTTCCCTCCCCAGCACACCATATTGGGTAAACCAAGTACTGTACTACAGCTGTTCTCTACACATTGTTAGACTCTCACCTTTAACCTTCTGATTATCTTGATGCACATGAAGGTAATGTACTGTACTGTACTGTACTGTACATCATAATATCTCTATCAATACAATTTCTTGTAATTGTTTATGTGGTCATGTGAAACCGAATCAAAATATGTACAGTATATAATGTATTGATACAAAATTAATGCACTCAAAAAGGTTTTACTTTCTGGATTTCTGCAGTGGACTGACCTTTCATATACAGTACTGTACATTTTTTTGCATTAAAAATGCTGTACGTTTATGGTAATTCCCATATTCGTCCTTGAATCACTCACATGACCACACAGAGGGCGAGTCAGCTGTTAAGTCCACAATCACACACACTTTAATGTACAGCAATAGATTGCTTTATATAGGTTGGCTTGGCAAATTAATATTAGTCACACACATATCATTTTTATCATCTATTAACTTTATAATTTTTAATCACAATTTTATCGAGTTATTTGGTAGATTCACTGTGTTAAATAAAAAAATGTGGCAACTTTGCAGTGGCTGACCAGCCAAATTGATTGGAGAAATTTACTTTGCTTAAACATACCGGCAAATTTTTATGGCACTTGATACAGCAACTGAATTTTGATATTTTCAAACATAGAAAAATTAAAAAATATATGCTTGTATTTACTATAAATACCAAGTGTATGGAGAGTCATAAATATTTGTAAGCAAGGTAATTGGGCACACATGACTCAGCCACACAGTTCATGAACTTAGCCAGCCAAGATTTTAACACCACCACTCTCCACCCCTGACAGACAGATATTCATTGAGTTACCTGAATATGCCTGAAAGGTATTATAGTTAGCCACTAAACAAGCAAGAATAGAATGATAGTGGTGGTGATACACAACCCTCGCATATAGTTGCGTTAAAGCTCGTTATCTCAATTTTATCTCTGGGGGGAGGGGGGACCCCAACTGTGCAAGTGAACAGCCCCTCAAGCACAGTAAAATGATCGTCTACTGCACTATAATATAACTATCTTGATAAGCAGAGTTGTGCTCTTAACAAGATTTTGTACCCAGACTGTCCAGTGATCTTGAAATTTGACACAAACACTAAACATGGTGGTTTTATTTTGTGTTATAATACAGGTAGTTCTGCTATAACGCGATAATTGTGTTCTTGTAAAATGTCGTGTTATAGAAAATCGCGTAATAGAAATAACAGGGCTTATGGAGAAAATAGGGTTAGGTGCAGATTACTCGAAATCGAAAAAATTTAGTAGTTAGCCTAACACAAAGGATAGCACAGTCTAAATAAATGTTACATTCATATCTAATAATGAAATCATACAGTAAATTTAACACTTTACCTTGAAAAAATATGAATGTAACTTGATGGGGGAGAAGGGTGATTTTGAGGTTGATAACATCGAGCTTCTCTTCAAGTGTTATATCCTTTCTTTTACGATAATCACCGGGAATTCTATCATCAGAACGCTTTTTGGAGATATTCTTCTTTACCATATTCACAGTTAATACCACAAAATTGGAGAAATAGTAAGCAAAAATCGCGTTATAACAAACAAGCGTTCGCGTTATACAAATATTGTTCCGAATTCATAAATCGCGTTAGAGCAAATTCGCGTTATCAAAACACGCGTTATAGCAGAACTCACTGTACAGGAGTTTCATCACAAGAACAGTTCCTCTATACGTACATGAGTTACAATCTGATCTTGACCTTTTTGTGGCATTGACCTTTGAATTAAATGATGACTTTAATTATCTGCATATTGTATGAATAAGACGTGTCATCCCACAAAGTTTCAACAAGACTTGACAACTGGCTTCTAGACATTATCTGGGTGAACATCACAAAGAAAAAGAAGTACAGAGGTAAGAATACAGTGGTAAGAATGCAAATATATAGTACAGTATACAGCTGCTCCCCGAATTACGATGGGGTTAGGGACCCAAACCCAGGTCGTAAGTCAAATTGGTCGTAAATCGAAAATGCAAAAAATAATACATAGAGAATTTAAATTGAAATACCTGTACAGTACAGTAAAAGTAATCAATAATGAAGAATGAATACAGTGTTACTGTGCACTTACCTTTAATGTAGTCAGCTGAATGCACACGGGGCCCCCATAATATTTTAATTATACATGGAGAATATATTAACTGGATGAAGCAGAGGAGGAGACAGGGATGAGTGGATCATCAATGTCGCTTTCTTCAGACAGGTTAACATACAGGGGAAACTTGCTTGTTGAAGGTATTGGATCATCTTTAGGGAGTGAAGAGGCAACACTGGTGGGGCGTGAGGAGACAGCAATGGGGACTTCTTAAAATATATGTCCAATTTAGACTGCACAGTTTGCTTTTTCTTTTCATTGTAAATCTCCCTGTAGCAAGCAAGTGCATCTTGGACCATTCTGTCAACTTTGGCAAAACGCTCATAATTTTGATCCATTCCGTCAAACAATTGAATCCCCTTATTAATTGTAGCAAATGCCTCTGCCATTTGTTTCACTGAAAAATTTTTGGGGGTGCAGGTTCTTCTTCTACATTTTGACTCTCGTCTTCCTCTGCAATTTTCTGTGCTTCCAGTTCAATAAGATTCTCATTACTTAGCTCTTCTGCTACACTTTCAACCAACTGCTCAACATTTTCATTATCAATATTTAACTCAAGCTGCTTAGCCAACTCCACTATCTTGTTACTAATCGCAGAAATTACTTCATCTTCATTAAATCCTCTGAAACTGTTCACATATCTTTTCAGGACTTTCTTCCATATTCCATTCATGCACTGACCTGTAATCTCATCCCATGCTGCAGCTGTGTTCTTTATACATTTCAAAATGATGTAGTCCTTCCAAAACTCTCTGAGCATTTTCTCACCTTCAGGAGCAGCAACAGCTTGAGCGAAGGTCGTACGTAAATAATTCGCTTTAAAAGCAGCAATAGCACCTTGATCCATGGGTTGGATGATAGAGGTAGTGTTAGGTGGAATGTAGACTATTTTAACATCAGGGTGCATGTCATCCAGGTGTGGTGGGTGTCCCGGAGCATTATCCAAAATTAACAAAATCTTGAATGCAATCCCTTGTTGCAGACAATACTCCTTGGCTCGTGGAATGAAACAAGTCAGGAACCAATCCTCAAACAATACTAGGGTCATCCATGCTTTCTTATTACTGCGATAAAACACTGGCAGTGTGTGCTTGCTGACATGTTTAAAAGCCCTTGGGTCCTCTGAATGATATATCATGAAGGGCTTTATCTTGAAACCAGCTACATTCCCATCCAACAGAAGTGTGATTCGGTTCTTGAATGCCTTGAATCCCGGCATTGTTTTTGCCTCTTTGTGGATGTATGTCCGTTCTGGCATGTACTTCCAGAATAAGCCAGTTTCATCCACATTAAATATTTGCTCAGGCAAATAATTTCCCTCCACGATGACACGATCTAGCTCCTCCTTAAAAGCTTCGGCAGCACCCACATCAGCACTTACTGCCTCTCCACTTACTTTTACACTGTGCAAACTGTAGCAGTTCTTAAACCTTTAGAACCACCCACGACTTGCTGTGATGGTTTGTTCGCACTTATCTCCTGCCTGCTCCTTCAGGCTTTCAAAAAGGCTTCTTGCCTTAGCCTGTAGGGTTAGAAGGCTTAAGGGTACACGCTTTTGTATCTGATCTTTCATTTATTGTTCACTTTATAGGTGCTGATCCTTTCACTACCTCACGAATACGGTCCTTGTCCTTCAAAATTGTCGATATGGTCGAGTGCGAGAAGCGTAGGTCGCATGAAATGGTTGCTACCATTTTTCCATTTTCATACTGCATTATTATCTTCACTTTCGTCTCAAAAGTAATTGACTGTCTCCTTTTCTTCTGAGCACCACCAGCACTCACTTCTACGCTTGCCAGTCATTCTAAAGTGAATTAGAAACGAAAATACTGTCAATACACAGCGCGATCACTATCAACAACAACGACAGCCAAACACCAACTAAGCACTCTACGGCGTGGGTGCTGTAGCCTCAAGGCGACGCGACCCAGCCCACTCGACGCTCTCGTACGGGACGGAAACGTTTCGGTCTAGAAAATACGCGCGTCATTTGAAATTTTTTTGGTACCGACTGCGGCGGTCGTATGTGCGGGTGGTCGTAGGTCAAGTATGTCGTAAGTCGAGGAGTAGCTGTACTTGAAAACTGAAAATAAGTACTGTACAGTATTAGGCTAATCATTTTCCAATCAACCAAATAAATAACCATTATGATGTAGAAACTATCTGAATGAGCAAGCATCAGTCAATGGCCATCCCTAACCTAACGTTGAATAAAGCACCAAGGGGTCTTCCATCTACAAACCTAACTAAAGATACCTTTCCTTTTGCCAGAGAGAGAGAGAGAGCATCCATAGTTGTGACTTGCCTTAAATATGAGAGGTGTAAAAGCTGCCAGCCCTGTGGGTAGGAAGAAATGCTTGCCGTGCTCCAGCTCCTTGTTTGTTTTGATCATACTGAAGTAATTCATCACATCCTTCAGGTTCTCCAGTCGCCGGTGTGTCCAGGTCACGCGCTTACGCTCCTGACAGTGACAAAAAGAAGACCGATACTGTTAATGATACAGTGTGTGGTGGAATTCTATTTATCTATCTATTCATCAATCAACCTATCTATTTATTTCAATCAATCAATCCATGTATCCATCAATCAATCAATCAATATATCTCTATCAATCTATCTATTCATCTCTAGCTCACTAGCTATCTAGTACCACTGTAATTTCTTAGGGATACTATATTCTATCCACTGTCTTGAACCCACGTCCCACTCTCCCCGTGATAAAACTGTCAGTCTTGTACCCCTCATAAGATAAGATAACATAACATAACATAACATCCATGATGAGTTTCAATAATTCTATACAAACCTAGATTCCTTCCATCATTTTCGTCAAGAGTTTCAATTACCATTTTCGACACCTATTAGCTTACTAGCTGTTTTGGCAGTTGGTTAGTTATGTGTCGCATGCTGAACAAACACACAGTAGGCATTCATTATATACAGTACTGTACAGTCAATAAAAAAACTATCCTTACAAAATTGTGTTAGACAATATTACAGTACAGATGAAGTACAGACAGTTTTTTTATTGCCTGTACAACAAGTTAAGACAATACGTGCCGGTGTGTTGCCATCAAAGAAGAACACGAGGCTGATGCCGTGGGCCGTCAGACTCTTGTAAAAATCTTGAATGTGTTCGACATAACCCTTCCACTGACCTCCGCAAATCCAATTTAGTTTGCCGTACAACTTCCGTAGGCAGGACATGCCATCCACCACAAGCAGCGGAACTTTTCCAGAACGCTTATGGTACTCGTCCGCAACCTGTAAGAATTGAAGGATGGCCCATTATCACAGATGGTCTTCATTATTGGTTCATATCTAACAATAAACACAAATGAATGAAACACCTACAGTATTTGGCTCAAGCCTTTTGTGCCCCTGCAAACATGAAAACCATGGAAAATATGTAGAATGATACATAACCTACTGTAGTGTGTACTCTACTGTACTGTAGTGTGTACCCTACTGTACTGTAGTGTGTACCCTACTGTACTGTAATGTGTACCCTACTGTACTGTAGTGTGTACCCTACTGTACCCTCCCTGTAAGAGAACCTTCACATGATTTATTTAATGCGAAATGGGTAAAAAAAAAGGGGGGATAAATGCTGTTCCTAATGACCACTGTATCATGTGTGGCCACTGTGGTTATGGTGACTGTTACCACCACAGTAAGATAAACTAGAAGAGAGAGAGAAAGAGAGGGATAGCCACAGTATGATAAACTAGACGAGAGAAAGAGAGAGGGTGAGAGGAGAGACAGAGTGTTGACAACGAACTTTGCTGAGGTGTTAAATGGGCGCGTCGGCCACGTTACTAAGCGAAATGGAGCTGGTAGAAGCTGCGTGACTGTCTGAGGGACAGTCTATCGCCTTTTACTGTAGACAACATCTACCAAGAGGATATTATATTTGTTCTCGTTGGTCAAACCCTAAACCCCAAAACATGAGTGTGATTGTGAACTAGTATATCCTCTAAGAACTCTAAATAACTTTAATAAGTGTATTTAAGTACTGTATATTGATCATATTATACAAACTGTGTCCTGATGTATCAGCAGTTGTAACATGTGAGATATATTTAAAAGGTTAATAGGTTATGAACTGTATATTGATCGTACTATTCAAACTGTGTGTCCTGATATACCAGCATTTGTTATATGTGAATTGTTCTTTAACAGGTTTTGACCGAATTATACTCATCACGTCAACGACAAGGGTCTTATTCTCCTCCACAAACCAAAATGGCTCCTATGAGAGATTAAAGTGACCACTGTGGTTATGGTGACCACTGTATCATGTGTGACCACTGTGGTTATGATGACCACTATGGGTGGCCACTGAGGTTATGATGACCACTGTGTGGCCACTGTGGTTATGATGACCACTATATGTGACCACTGTGGTTATGGTGACCACTGTATCATGTGTGACCACTGTGGTTATGGTGACCACTGTATAATGTGTGACCACTGTGGTTATGGTGACCACTGTATCATATGTGGCCACTGTGGTTATGATGACCACTATGGGTGGCCACTGAGGTTATGATGACCACTGTGTGGCCATGTGGTTATGATGACCACTATATGTGACCACTGTGGTTATGGTGACCACTGTATCATGTGTGGCCACTGTGGTTATGGTGGCCACTGTGGTTATGGTGGCCACTGTGTGGCCACTGTGGTTATGATGACCACTATATGTGACCACTGTGGTTATGATGACCACTACATGTGGCCACCTTGGTTATGATGACCACTGTATGTGTGACCACTGTGGTTATGATGACCACTATGTGTGGCCACTGTGATTATGATGACCACTGTATGTGTGACCACTGTGGTTATGATGACCACTGTATGTGTGACCACTGTGTGGCCACTGTGGTTATGATGACCACTGTATGTGACCACTGTGGTTATGATGACCACTATGTGTGGCCACTGTGGTTATGATGACCACTGTGTGGCCACTGTGGATATGATGACCACTATGGGTGGCCACTGAGGTTATGATGACCACTGTGTGGCCACTGTGGTTATGATGACCACTATATGTGACCACTGTGGTTATGGTGACCACTGTATCATGTGTGGCCACTGTGGTTATGGTGGTCACTGTGGTTATGATGACCACTGTGTGGCCACTGTGGTTATGATGACCACTATATGTGACCACTGTGGTTATGATGACCACTACATGTGGCCACCTTGGTTATGATGACCACTGTATGTGTGACCACTGTGGTTATGATGACCACTATGTGTGGCCACTGTGATTATGATGACCACTGTATGTGTGACCACTGTGGTTATGATGACCACTGTATGTGTGACCACTGTGTGGCCACTGTGGTTATGATGACCACTGTATGTGACCACTGTGGTTATGATGACCACTATGTGTGGCCACTGTGGTTATGATGACCACTGTGTGGCCACTGTGGATATGATGACCACTGTATGTGTGACCACTGTAGTTATAGTTATGATGACCACTATGTTTGACCACTGTGGTTATGATGACCACTATGTGTGGCCACTGTGGTTATGATGGCCACTATGTGTGACCACTGTGGTTATGATGACCACTATGTGTGGCCACTGTGATTATGATGACAACTGTAGTTATGATGACCACTATGTGGGGCCATTGTGGTTATGATGACCACTGTATCATGTGTGGCCAGTGGTTATGATGACCACTATGTGTGGCCACTGTGGTTATGATGACCACTGTGTGGCCACTGTGGTTATGATGACCACTGTATGTGTGACCACTGTGGTTATGATGACCACTATGTGTGGCCACTGTGGTTATGATGACCACTGTGTGGCCACTGTGGTTATGATGACCACTGTATGTGTGACCACTGTGGTTATGATGACCACTATGTGTGGCCACTATGGTTATGATGACCACTGTATGTGTGACCACTGTGGTTATGATGACCACTATGTGTGGCCACTGTGGTTATGATGACCACTGTGTGGCCACTGTGGTTATGATGACCACTGTATGTGTGACCACTGTGGTTATGATGACCACTGTATGTGTGACCACTGTGGTTATGATGACCACTATGTGTGGCCACTGTGGTTATGATGACCACTGTGTGGCCACTGTGGTTATGATGACCACTGTGTGTGACCACTGTGGTTATGGTGACCACTGTATGTGTGACCACTGTGGTTATGATGACCACTATGTGTGACCACTGTGGTTATGATGACCACTATGTGTGGCCACTGTGGTTATGATGACCACTGTAGTTATGATGACCACTATGTGTGGCCACTGTGGTTATGATGACCACTGTGTGGCCACTGGTTATGATGACCACTATGTGTGACCACTGTGGTTATGATGACCACTATGTGTGACCACTGTGGGTTAGATGACCACTATGTGTGACCACTGTGGTTAGGATGACCACCATGTGTGACCACTGTGGTTATGATGACCACTGTATGTGTGACCACTGTGGTTATGATGACCACTGTATGTGTGACCACTGTGGTTATACCACTGTGGTTATGATGACCACTATGTGTGGTTATGATGACCACTATGTGTGACCACTGTGGTTATGATGACCACTATGTGTGACCACTGTGGTTATGATGACCACTATGTGTGACCACTGTGGTTATGATGACCACTGTGTGGCCACTGTGGTTATGATGACCACTGTTCATGTGCCACTGTGGTGATGACCACTATGTGTGACCACTGTGGCTATGATGACCTATGTGGCCACTGTGGTTATGATGACCACTATGTGTGGCCACTGTGGTTATGATGACCACTGTATGTGTGACCACTGTGGTTATGATGACCACTATGTGTGACCACTGTGGTTATGATGACCACTATGTGTGGCCACTGTGGTTATGATGACCACTATGTGTGACCACTGTGGTTATGATGACCACTGTATGTGACCACTGTGGTTATGATGACCACTATGTGTGACCACTGTGGTTATGATGACCACTATGTGTGGCCACTGTGGTTATGATGACCACTATGTGTGGCCACTGTGGTTATGATGACCACTATGTGTGGCCACTGTGGTTATGATGACCACTGTATGTGTGACCACTGTGGTTATGATGACCACTATGTGTGACCACTGTGGTTATGATGACCACTGTATGTGTGACCACTGTGGTTATGATGACCACTGTATGTGTGACCACTGTGGTTATGATGACCACTATGTGTGGCCACTGTGGTTATGATGACCACTATGTGTGGCCACTGTGGTTATTATGACCACTGTATGTGTGACCACTGTAGTTAGACTAGTTACCAAAGCAGCCAGACAACAACAACAGGTAATAATTGACACACAGTTGGGCTCCTTATGAGGTGTTTGGTGTAGCAAGGGTTAAGTCACCAATCTGGTGTTTACCCATTTTCAGTGGACTCGGATACAGTACAGTACAGTACAGTACAGTACAGTACAGTGCAGTACAGTGCAGTACAGTGCAGTGCAGTACAGTACAGTACATGTACTCGATCGAGTTCACACTATCTGGTGGTGAAACTAGTCAAGGCAAAAGCGACCATATTGTGGAGCTAACCTAGGTTGAAATTACAATAGAAAATGTGCCAGAAATGTATACAGTACTCAGGTCCTTCTCGGCTAATAACCCCCACCACTTATGCTACACATTTTCATCCTGTGTAGTGACTATAGTATTATTATCTTTTAATTACATATACCTCAAAATAAATCCTTTCCATTGAGTTATCAAAATAACAGATTAATGTAAAATAAAATCCTGTATATTTCATAATAATCCAAATACTGTAGTAAAGGATTACTATTTTCTTATATTTACTGTACATTCATGTGCCTCATTTACATTAGTGTACAATTTGGTTAATTAGGGAAAAATAAAAAAATAAAATTTTCCATTTTCTACTTTCCTTTCCTTATTGGACTTGTCAGGCAAACAAAATGACATTACTGTATAAAACATGAAAATTGGATTGTTTTTGTTCGCTGTACATTTTTTTTAAACTTTAAATGCGATTACAGGTGTATATCTAAATTCAATTTTGGTGACCTCACCCTAGTTGCAAGAGACCCCTTATATCTAAAAAAATAAAAGAGTTTTAAGTGTGTGTGTGTTGTAATTTATAACAAAAAGGGATCTCTGGACCTTCTTGGTTTCCACTACCAAATTATTCTTTACTCTACATAAAAGCTAAGAACATTAACTATTCTTTGGTTACACAGCTCTCAAACTTTTGTGATTGAGCAAAATAAATAAAAGTTTGCCAAAAAGTAGCACAGTCCAGTGATATTTCTTTGTTAAATGGCAACAAAAACTTCCAATTAGATCTGAGGAGTCCAGCCCATGTGTTGAAAAGATAAGCTACTATCCTAGTCTCTCTACAGTACAATGGTCAAACATGCTATTGTTAAGGGTCAGACATCATCAACTTATTATACTACTGTACATACGGGGAGGTGAAAGTCAGTACATGTACTGTACTAAACATGCTTGATTTTGTTAAATTACAACAAGGTGTAACATTGAACACTTTTACTTGATGAATGGGAGTATGACTGACCTTTCCTATGTTGACAGAGTAGCATGCTTGCCCACAGTGGCCCTCCAAAAACGACTGCAAACCTCGCACGCCCATGATTAGTGTGTTGCAGGCTTCACTTCTCTACCTGTGCAACAAAAAACACAATTTATATTAGTTGGGTATCCATAAATTAATAAATGCAGTACTCAATATAATCCTCAACTAATGACTAAAAAAATTGTCACAGGAGTCTCAGCATTAAGAGCAAGGACACCTGGAAGGGCCCGTGCTTGTCCTGTCAGTATTCCATTTTGCAAAGCCTACCAAGTTGGTGGTACAGATGGGGTGCTGGTGGCAATGTTTAGTGATTCTCACCCTGTGTCCTGGGTCAGATGTGAGAAGGGTGTTATCCAATGTAACCCTACCAAACATTGCAGGTTTTCTCCAGGTACTCTAGTAGTACTTTACTAACACTGGACACTGAAGGTCATAACAAAGAACAGACATTAACATTAAAAATACTGTACACTGAACGAATATTTTTTTTTTTTTTTTTTTTTACATATACTGTACCTCTCACACTCGCACCATCAAACTCCCTGCCAGCTGCCACATGTGTGTGTTTTTCCTACATCTAACATCCCCAAATTCATTGTTCTATTACAAATATCTTCAATCTTTGACAAAGAATAGTTTGGCAAAGACTTACTGTAGTACAGTACTGCAATTGCTTCCCGGTGCAAATCATTAAGAGAAAAATAATTAAAAGTTCATATAAAAGTGTTTTGAGAATAATGAATTGGCATACAGTGAGTTCTGCTATAACGCGTGTTTTGATAACGCGAATTTGCTCTAAAACGATTTATGAATAGAGGAATGATATTTGTATGACGCGAACGCTTGTTTGCTGTAACGCGATTTTTGCTTACTATTTCTCCAATTTTGTGGTATTAACTGTGAATATGGTAAAGAAGAATATCTCCAAGAAGCATTCTGGTGATCGAATTCCCGGTGATGATCGTAAAAGAAAGGATATAACACTTGAAGAGAAGCTCGATGTTATCAACCTCAAAATCATCCTTCTCCCCCATCGTTACATTCATATTTTTTCAAGGTAAAGTGTTACATTTACTGTATGATTTCATTATTAGATATGAATGTAACATTTATCTAGACTGTGCTATCCTTTGTGTTAAGCCAACTACTAATTTTTTTTCGATTTCGAGTAGTAATCTGCACCTAACCCTATTTTCTCCATAAGCCCTGTTATTTCTATTTCGCGATTTTCTATAACACGATATTTTACAAGAACACAACTATCGCGTTATAGCAGAACTGACTGTATGTCCTAGTGAGGATAGAAGACTTTCTACATGACCGCAAGCAGTGTGTGTGTGTGTGGTGATTAATGGCACGAAATCATCATCCGTACCTGTCACAAGCAGGGTACCACAGGGCAGTATATTGGGCCAGCTGTTGTTTATTTGTTTCATAAATGACATGCCTGACGTTGTACCCTCCTCCATACAAATGTTTGCCGATGACGCCAAGTTATTTAGGGAAATCAAGAACCAAGCGGACTGTGAAGAGCTGCAGAAGGACCTCTGTGGGCTCCAAGAATGGTCGAAGATATGGCTGCTGAGATTCAATGTCACGAAGTGTAAGAGGATGCACCTGGGGCGTACCAACGGTAAGGAGGCGTATCATATGTCCCAATGGGATGAAGAAACTGCACTATTTGAGACTGAATGTGAGAAGGATCTAGGTGTGTATGTTGACAATGAGCTGAAGTTCTCGGGCCAATGTGAGAAGAAGGTAAATCAGGCAAATAAATTATTGGGTCATATAAGAAGATCGTTCAGATATCTAGACGGTCCATGCCTCATAACAATCTTCAAGAGTGAAGTGCTTCCCCATCTGGAGTACTGTCACCCCGTCTAGTCCCCGAGATATGCTAGGGACTGTCAGTTGGTTGAAAATGTTCAAAGGAGGGCCACCAGACTGGTGCCTGCATTTCAGCACCTCAGCTACCCTGAGAGATTGGAGCGCCTAAACTTGCCTAGCTTATACTACAGACGGGCAAGGGGTCACCTAGTTGAGGTGTATAAGCATCTCAAGGGGCACTACTCAGTCGAGTGTCCTTACTTGGAGCTGGCGGACGCTCGCCCCACACGGGGTCACAGCTCAAAATCGAAGAAGCCGCAAGTCCATAAAACTGTGAGGGCAAACTTTTTCGAAGTGAGAGTTGTGAACTCTTGGAACAATCTACCAGAAAGTGTTGTGAAGGCACCGAGTGTGAGCTCTTTCAAGACAAGACTTGACCAACACTGGAGCAGGTTCAGGTACATTGAGGAGCCGGTGTATGCCCAGTACTTGCCAACAGTGCGTAACAGAGACATGACCGATCGCCCAAGCGGCTAACTAGCCGATCCGTGGTGAAAAGGATAAAAGTAAAAGTGAAGAGACTATTATACATTATATACTGTATAAAGCAACTAGCAGTGTATGCGAGTAAAATACTTCCACAGGTAGTCCTCATTTATTGCAAGTTATCGCAATTAAATTTTTACGGCCAAAATATTTGACTATCGCAGTGTTTCAATTGTTTTCACTGCTATCATCAGGAAAAAATTCAAACTAATAGGGCACAATTTCCCCTTGGCTTCAGTTCCAATGGAGGAACATTATCATGTAATAAAGCCAGAAGCATCTATGCATCCTGATAATTCCCAGTGCAGAGGCATTAAAGCAATCCATAGTTGGTCCACGTTTCTCCATACCTTCAGGCAGATGATGTTATAATGTTATTACTCCACTTCAACAACTAAGGTCTTTAAGTGCATAACAAATACTGTACAGTGCACCATTCCATCAATATTTAAAAATTAGCTACAAGAGCTAGTTATAACTGTCATAGGGCAGAGTGAAGCTTTTGAGGAAAAAAAATAATTGTGTCCATATTTTAGTCTGAAAAATAGAAGGCTCAGTTCCACACCTGAGCTATGAAAAACATTTACTATAACTACAATTTTCTCACACTGTTTACACAAAAAAGAAATTTCTCTAACAGAAAGGGAATAAGTTATGAAGAATCTAATCTCCTAAAATTATGACTAGATGAAAGCCCAGACTTGTCACTGCATACTTTATCAAGAACTCAAGGTACAGTAGTAAAGAATTTTCCTCACTGAGCGTCCTAAAGCAGTGTCCCAAGAAGCACTCAAAATTAACTATTAAGACAGATAATAAAGATGGAGATAATTCCTAATGACCTGTAACAGTTTCGTGAAGATACACCGAGCATCTTTTATGCTCAGAGCAGGAAGGACAGTACACACAACATAACCAAACAGAAAGTAACTCCTAAAAATTCTTAAGAACTGAACCTTGCCAATAAACATTCCCCAAATCAGTGGATGTACAGTACTTAAAGGCTCAATTTCACTTGAAGGTTCATATTTATCTGAAACTGAAGATCTGGTAAAGACTCCTGCAACTCTAGGACCCTCTGAGGCCTTAGGAACATGCAACACTTGAGAAGTTAACTACTGTACAGTACAGTACAGTACCAGCTCTGACCCCTTTGAACAAACTGGAGTTCCAGGTAGTCCAAGTTCCGGTACACCTCTAAAAACACCCTAATGTATTAGGGTAATGTCCCTGCACATGAAGTACTGTACCAGGGCCACCACTAACCACTCCAGCATGTTAATTTAGTTTTAGGGAATGTAATAGTATAAGACTAATTGGTGCTCTTGCCTTAATGATAACACCTTGAACTGTGGTAAACTTTGCTAGTAATCCTTCAAGTCTTTACCAAGGCTCTACACTTAACTTTATTAGAAAACAAGTAGATCAGGGGAGAGTTGGTGTAGTGTGAAGTACCTAGTGTCATTGCCTGTCAGATAGAGACTTGAAATTCAAAATGGCACCTGTCCTTAAACTAAGATAAAGCACAGAAGCCTCAGTGTAATGACTGGGCAACCACAGCACTATTGGACCTCATGTTCCCAGTGAGCACCATAACCTTTACACCTGATTTCCCTCACTATTAAGTGTGGAAGGCGAGAGAAGGTTGGTCAGTTTATTAACAAGTCAGCCATACAGCCAGTTGGAAAGACCTAGACCCCAACAATAATGACAGCAAACTGGCTTAAGGGCGAGTATGGTGTAAGAAATGTGAATGCCACTTACCAGTATGATGCACAACAAGATCCAACCACCAGGATCATTAGTTCATACACATACAGTATACCAGTACTGAGGTATTTTTTTGATTCTCTCAGCACTTCACTAAAAGGGGTATACATCTGGAACAGCTCTGCATCATTGACATTTTTTCTATCAGAATCTTCATCAATTCATTTGTTATAATATAAAGATTAAATCCACTTGAGCAACAAAGAAAAAATTCCAAAATTTATTAATGAAGCAAATTAATACAAACTAGTAATACTAAATAACAAGAGTGGACCAGCCTTAGTAACAATAAAGCTTTATTACCTGAAGAAACACTGAAAATGCACGATATATATTTACTGGTTTTTACTTGCAATATGGGCACCCTTTTGTAAATTGGGGAATGCCTGCACGTACTGTACTCAAACAACACAACTTGTGAAAGCAGGTGTTACCAAATTTCACAGTACAGTAGTCTCAGTAACCATTTCCTTTGTATTGTTGAATGTGAAACATGTTCAAGAATATACAGCTGCTCCTCGACTTATGACGGGGTAAGGGACCCAAATCCAGGTCGTGTCGAAAATGCTTAAATAATACATAGAAAATCTAACATGGGTGTCTCTTTTTCTTCTCAGCACCGCAAAACTCACACTTTTAAGCTTGCCAGCCATTTTAAAGTGAATTAATAAAGAAAATTTTGTCAGTACACAGCGCAATCACTAACGTCGGGACTCGCAAATACGTAATTTGACAAAATTTTGGTACGACTGAGGCAGTGGTATGTCCGGGTGGTCTTAAGTCGAGGTACTGTACATATAAGTTGCATTAATAATTATTACCACCCATTAGGAGACTTAAATTTTTGTTCCGTGTACCAACACTTACCTGACTGTAAGGAGTAATGAATCCCCTCCATCCACCACAGAAGCTACGCTCTTGTCAGTGGTTTTTTGACCGGTCACTGACCTTTACTTACTTTCGTTATTTGTCCAGCATTCATTCTGATTGATTGAGGCACTGAACCTAGATTATTAAATTCATTCACTTGCAAACCTAACCCAATCCAACCAAACAAACCCAACCTAATTTAATTGACTTAACCTAACCCATATTAAAAGTTATAACCTAAACTGACCAAATGTATCCTAATCAGGGGCAGAGCCAGAGAAGGGGGGTTCTGGTGGTCTGGATCTACCTTTTCATCAGAAAATTCCAATACTTTTTCTTTAATGCAGTATTGTACTCAGGCATTTTTATGTTGCAAAAAAAAAAATATTTTTGAACTCAGAATATCTCCTAATACCAAATGCACAGGACTTCAAAATAGTCTCAAAATGCCCATGATATTGGTCATATTAAAAAATAATAAATAAATAAATCTGGTAGAGGGGTAAGCCCCCTCCCCCCAGCTGGGTGGGCTCACTATACTCACCATGTTATGCCCCCTTGATATTCCTCGATCTGCCCCTGCTAATCTAACTTAATTTAACCTAACCTAACCTTACCTATTGTTACCTAACTTACCCTGTTGTAACTAAACCTTATGTGATCTAACCAAACATAACCTAACCATGTCTGTAAGTGACCAAATTCAGCTCGGTAATCTAGGTTATCAGCATCATCGGCCTCGACCAATCGGAATTTATATCATTTTTATCACTTATCAGCTTACTAGTCACTCAGGTGGTTGGTCTATCCAGTGTTAGTACAGGAGGAAACCGGAGGCCCGGAAACCTGTGATGTTTGGCAGTGAGGGCCACACTGGATAACACCTCACCTGCGTCTGGGTCAAGCAGGATTCAAACCCTTGACATATTGGCGAGATACACACATTACCGCTGTACCACCATCACAGTATAGTACTACTGTATATGGTTTAGCTCTACATATCTGAATGCCAAAGATCCTGTTTTAATCATTTGAATTACAATGAATTTAATATAGTGCATAATTACCTTGGGTCCAACTAATTGCCGATTCTTTCCTGTAAAATGGCCAGCTACTTTTTAAAGGCTACAGACCTCTCTCATATGAATGAATAATTAAGTTAATAAACTTAATCAGACTATGTGGTTCATTCAACCATTTATATGAACAAAACTTCAGATAAATGTATAACAGCCTGGTGTGATGATACTGTATATTGTACTGTACTGAATAATGATGTAACCTGGCAGAGTTTTGTGTGTGTGTTTTCAAATAATGACAACATACGGTAACTGATGCTCACGCTGAAAAAACTTAAGTTCCCATGACCATCTGAAGAAGCTGAACCTCCCCATCATTAGTGTACCACAGGATGGGTGCGGTTAGGTTATGATCAGGAGCATAACATTGATGTAGCTGCAACGAATGTAGGAAAAAATGTCACAGAAAAAAATGGCAAAAGGAAGGTATAATCATCAGACTTGGAAAAATGGCACATTAATTTTTATTGACATGTTTTCGCTAAAATTTTATGAAGTTTGTTACTGAAACTTACTTGGAGTTATATCAACGTCATAACATAAAACATTTATTTCCTTTAACTAAAACATTCTATTGTATGTTGGTGAAAACTCGTACATAAATGAATTACAAAATTAAAAATGTCACATTGCATATTATTGTTTAAGATTTCCAACGAATGTTATAGCTAGCGCCTGCACAAACTCTTTGAACTAACTTGCAACCAGCTTGGCGGTCCTGGCAGAGGATCTTCAGCCTTGTCTGGAGGTTCTTTTAAACTCGTTTTTGGCGCATCCCGAGTGGCTCACCACGAGATTCTTTGATGATTTCAGATGATACAACAGCATGGTCAGCTTGGATCCACTGGATGGAACGCCAGATAGTTGGGTGGCTGTGCCCAACCAACCTGGTAGTAGAGGAAGTAAGGATACCTAACGAGCTCCTTTGTGGTTCGTGAGCTCGAAGCGAAATTTGTTGTGCTATTTTTTTCCAGTATGAAAATTGTGTAATTTTTTCCTGTGCCATTTTTTCCGAGTACCAGCTGCAGCAGGTAGAGGCTGGCCCACCATGGAGACCAAATACTATAATGCCACTGTCACGAGTCATAGTCTTAAGTAGTTCAAGACATGGCCTCTCTTAATGTAAAGACAAAACAACTGTTCACTGCAGACTTACCTAACACCTCACCTGAACAAGTGACCTGGTCTACAAACACGCCAATCTCCGAGAAATGGGTGGACAGGCCCTGTGTACAAGATATGTTGGACTATACAGCGGCTGGCAACAGACACAAGCTATGACGCTGAGCAACATAAACGCAGCTTAAGTGCTAAATAAAACAATGTTGAACTTTCTTCTAGAACATTACTGTAGAAGCTACTACATGTACAGTACTGTACCGAACAATTCTCAGCTGCTCTGGCCAGTTCTGACATGGCGCAAGGTTCCCAAAATGCGCACACCTACAAACGTCACCGAGACACACTTTAGTGTCAGTGAGATTCAGAACTATGGCAAGACAACACTATTTTATCCTGGCAACATCCGGTGACATTACTTCTGTCATTCCATAAATGGTGCCTCGGTAATATTCATTCTTATCCGTCTAGCAGAGAACAATATCTGCATCGTCATCTCCACCAGGCAGAGACATGACAACTCCCTGTACATTATGTTAGTCTGCCTCCTCACTCATTAACGTGTGCAATGAACCATAAATTACTGAACTGCATTATAGTTTTAATTATTATGGTAAGATGAATCAGATAACACGCAAATGAACCACCCATCAATGATTTGACAGATGGCGAAATTTACCAAGTCAAATATGAGAAGAAGCATAAATGCAAGTATCGGAATTAAAGTGATATTGTTTTATATTGCTTAGTTACCTTCCACAGAAATAGGTGGGTGGAAAGAGGCACCGTCGCCCCCTCAGCAGCACACCCTTCCCCTGTCATGTCCCGGTGCAGACTGATGTTGCATTGTTGCCAGGAACCACAAAATTAAGATGTCATACGGCATAGAATTTGATGTATATATTTCACTATGATTATATTTTGCGTTGAATATAATATGAAAAATTACTATAATATCCTTTCTTTAAAAATGTGGGTAGTAGAAGCCTGTAATTTATGTGAAAATGGAGGATTGTTAGTATCGTACGTGGGAATGCGGAGGGCGCGGTTTCAGATATTGATCTGCGTCCTCATTCTAAAACGGGCCTCATGTTCTTGCACCTACACTCTAAATATTAACTGTTACTCAAATTGCTGATTTCTGCCATGATTTTTTTTATAGTGACAACGCTAAAACCACAGTGAAATTTGCTAGGACGGTGTAACATTAACACTTCAGTGAAGATGAGATGTTATTACTAGAACTGAGGCAGCTTGCTAGGTCAATTCAAAGTCAACTCACACAGCAAATTCCAACTTTTTTTTTATGGATACTGTACTCTTTTATTTCTCTGCTGTATACATGATCAAAATCACTTTACCTAATCGCTGGTGTTGTGTGTACGTAGATGACTTCTGCTCTAATGATTTTTTCCTTTTTTTTTTGTATAGTAGTTGCATCATGTCCTTGAGTTTGTCATTCGTGAATCGTGATGGTCGCTGTGTTTCTCTGTTATGTCTTTCTCAGACCAGCCTTACCCAGACCCCCCTCCTACCTCCCCAGCTTACGTCATCCTCTCTCTCTCTCTCTCTAAGATATATTTCGGGAACGATTTTACCAATATTACTGACAATGAATACAGGAGAATGAACACGTCATGACCCTGAACCTAACCTAATATTAACCCAATATAACCTAGCATAACGTAGCATAATCTAGTACTAACCTAACAGAGCCTAACCTACATTACCAACACTGACGTTAACCTAACGTAATGCTAAGAGAGTTGTGCAACTAGCTTGCCGAGCCCCTGAAGCTCCTGTTCTGTAAATGCCTGAATGAGCAAAAGGTCCCCAGTGATTGGAAAATGGCTTATGTGAGTCTTATCTTCAAGAAGGGTGATCGTCACTCCACGAATAATTATAGACCAGTAAGCCTGACCAGCATAGAATGTAAAGTACAGTACTTGAGAGCATTACAAGTGATGCCATGATAGAATATCTACTGCTATCAATTGGTGAAGAGGATAAAAGAAAAAGAAAAGTAACAGAGACGTGATCGATCGCCCAAGCGGCTAACGATCCGATCAGTGGTAAAGAGGATAAAAGTAAAAAGTAAAAGAAACAACTTCGTAAAGGATTGCCAACACGGTTTTACTTTTATCCTCTTCACCACTCATCAACTCGTTAGCCGCTTAGGCGATCGGTCACGTCTCTGTTACGCACTGTTGGCAAGTATTGGGCATGCACCGGCTCCTGAATGTACCTGAACCTGTTCCAGTGTTGGTCAAGTCTGGTCTTGAAAGAGCTCACACTCGGTGCCGTCACAACACTTTCTGGCAGATTGTTCCAAGAGTTCACAACTCTCACTTCGAAAAAGTTTATCCTCACAGTTTTCTGGACTTGAGCTGTGACCCCTTGTGGGGCGAACGTCCGCCAGCTCCAAGTAAGGACATTCGACTGAGTAGTGCCCCTTGAGATGCTTATACACCTCAATTAGGTCGCCCCTTGCCCGTCTGTAGTATAAGCTAGGCAAGTTCAGGCGCTCCAATCTCTCAGGGTAGTTGAGGTGCCGAAGTGCAGGCACCAGTCTGGTGGCCCTCCTTTGAACATTTTCAACCAACTGACAGTCTCTAGCATATCTCGGGGACCAGACGGGGTGACAGTACTCCAGATGGGGAAGCACCCCACTCTTGAAGATCGTTACGAGGGACGGACAGTCTAGATATCTGAACGACCTTCTTATAAGACCCAATAATTTATTTGCCTCATTTACCTTTTTCTCGCAATGGCCCGAGAACTTCAGCTCATTGTCAACATACACACCTAGGTCCTTCTCACATTCAGTCTAAAATAGTGCAGTTTCTGCATCCCGTTGGGACATATGATACGCCTCCTTACCGTTGGTACGCCCCAGGTCCATCCTCTTACACTTCGTGACATTCAACCTCAGCAGCCATTCCTTCGATCATTCTTGGAGCTCACAGAGATCCTTCTGCAGCTCTTCACAGTCCGCTTGGTTCTTGATTTCCCTAAGTAACTTGGCGTCATCGGCAAACATTTGTATGGAGGAGTGTACAACGTCAGGCATGTCATTTATGAAACAAACAAACAACAGCGGGCCCAATACACTGCCCTGTGGTATCCCGCTTGTGACAGGTACAGATGAGGATTTCGTGCAATTAATCACCACACACTGCTTGCGGTCATGTAGAAAGTCTTCTATCCACGCTAGGACATTTCCCCGTATTCCGTACCCTTCCAGTTTGATTTTCAGCCTTTCGTGGGACGCTCCTGCTTCACACAATTATTCAAGGTACTGGATGTTTGGGCCCGAATTCTGGAACAGGATAGCAATATCGACAAAATATACCTAGATTTCGCCAAGGCTTTCGACAATGTACCCCATGAAAGGCTAAAAATTAAACTGAAAGGGTACGGGATTCGGGGAAGTGTCCAAGCGTGGATCAGAGACTATCTCTATGCTCGTAAGCGTGCAGTGTGTAGTGATTAATGGCACGAAATCGTCAGTTGTGCCCGTGACAAGCGTGTATTGGGCTCACTATTGTTTGTTTGCTTCATAAATGACATACCAGAAGCTGTACACCCCTTACAAGTGTTTGCGGACGATGCTAAGCTATTTAGGGAAATTAAGAACCAAGCAGACTGTGAAGAGCTGCAGAAAGATCTCTGTGATCTTCAAGAATGGTCGAAGAAATGGCTGCTAAGATTCAGTGTCACGAAGTGTAAGAGGATGCACCTGAGACGTACCAACGGAAAGGAAGTGTATCATATGTTCCAACGGGACCAAGAAACTGCATTAATTGAGACTGAATGCGAAAAGGACCGATGTGTTTATGCTGACAATGAACTTAAGTTCTCGGGCCATTGTGAGAAGAAGGTGAACCAAGCAACTAAATTATTAGGTCTTATAAAAAGGTCGTTCAGATATCTAGACGGTCCCTCATAACGATCTTTAGGAGTGAGGTGCTTCCTCGCCTGGAGTATTGTCACCCTGTCCGGTCCCAGAGATATGCTAGAGACTGGCAGTTGATTGAAAAAGTCTAAAAGGAGGGTCACCAAACTGGTGCCTGCACTTCGGCACCTCAGCTACCCAGAGAGGTTTAAGTGCCTGCAACTGCCTAGCTTATACTACAGACGGGCAAGGAGAGATCTAATTGAGGTGTATAAACATCTAAAGCGGTGCTACTAAGTCGAGTGTCCTTACCTGGAGCTGGCGGACGCTTGCCCCAAGGGTGGTCACAGCTCAAAGTTTAAGAAGCCGCAAGTCCAGAAAACTGAGGGAAAACTTTATCGGGGTGAGAATTGTGAACTCTAGGACCAGCCTGCCAGAAAGTGTTGTGACGGCACCGAGTGTGAGCTGTTTCAAGACCAGACTTGATCAGTAATGGAGCCGATTCAGATACATTCAGGAGCCAGTGCATGCCCACTACTTGTGAACAATGCGTAACAGAGACGTGACCGACCTCCCAGGCGGCTAACTAGTCGATCAATGGTGAAGAAGATAAAAGGAAAAAAGTGATTACCCTGATGCAAACCTAACCAGCCTAATGCTAACCTAATATAACATAAACCAATGATTACAAACACATTTGCTCAGGAGACAGAATCCTGCAGGTAAACACTTTAATTAGTTTAACAAATTTATTGACAAAGCTTGGAGTACAGTTTGCCTATTCTGAGTAATTCAGTCAGGTCTTGACACTGAGGGTGGTATCACTTCTCACTGCCACGCTGGACAGAGGTTCATACACAAAAAATACATCATATTCATTAA